GAGTTAGAACTCTATTTTTGTTGAACCCAAGTGTTGACTTGGAAAGTTGTAAGCCTGTAGGGCATTTACTTTTGTTGTTAACACATAATATCTCTTGTAAGAATACTCTGATATTGGGAATATGATATCTCTTTCTTGTATCATGGATGTATGATTCTAGGTTTATTTCGAGGGCGTTATAACTAACCATAGCGTATAGGAGAAATTAAAAAAGTTACTGCAGTAACTATGTACGAGCTGTATTTATAATTATTTGTATGAGGGGATTTTAAATGCTAATTAAGAATTTTGATCAAATCAATAAATGCAAGCATGTGGATTGGAAAAAGTTAATAAATACTGATCAAGGAATTTTGACCAAATCAATAAATGCTGAGATTTTTTATTTAAATAAAAAATTTAGAAAATTAAGATTGAGAGATTGGAACTCCCACAATGTTTCGGGATTAAAAACCCCATTTTCCTTAATAATAATAATTATAATAATAATAATTTAGTATTTGTATTTATTTGTATCTTTTAATCATTTTAACTTGTCATATATATAGCAAATTATTTTGTGTGCCAAATCAATAGAAGATTATTTTGATAATATTAAATTAAACACTTTTTTTTTAAATAATTATTTAATATTTTCAAATAAAATAGGTGAAAAATTATGATATCATTTTTGTTTCCTTACCTCATAATCTAACGAGATGCTGCTGCGCAAACTGCGCATCAACAATTGCTATATGGTGAAATTGGCACATTTCAGAGTTTATTTTGATAATCTAAACCGTTCACATTTTAAAATACATCAAGTAGAACATACTTACAAAAAATCAAAGTAATCGGATATCGATTACCCATTCATCCACTCACATTTGTATCTACAAAAATAAATAATAATTGTAATTTAAAGTATTAAAATGAATACAAATGCAAGTGGATGAATTGGTAAACGATTTGTAAGCATATTCTATTTGATATATTCTAAAATGTGAACGGTTTGGATTATCAAAATGGACTCCGAAATAGGCTCATTTCACCTCACAACAGCTACTACTGCGCAGTCCACGCAGCAGCATCCCCACTTCCGTATTAAAATTACAAAATAATGTTTACGATGTCTAAAATTAAGAAGAAAATTACTTTTATCAAATTTGGCAATTTTAGTCGTTTTGGCCATATGGTCATTTATGATTGTTTTAAAATATATTATTTAAGATTTATTTAAAATACAAATTATTATTTATAATTTTAAAAATTACATTTCATTTTTAAAATTTTTAATTTTATAATAACTAATATATTTTATTGATAAATCATCAAGTCAAATAATAATTTTTAATGATGTTAGAAATTAATTTCAATTAATAATTTAGGTAATTTTATTATTGTATGAAAAAATAGTTATAAATTTTATTTTTTTCAGTTAATTATATTAAATAAAAAATTCTAACAATATAATATTTTTAATTTTTCAAACTCCATAAAGTAATGTGTATTTTAATCAAAATCTCAGGGGTGCATTGGTAATTTACCCTACTTATTTTTATCAAGCCGACGTCGTTTTCATCGATGAGTTCCATTTCCTTCTTCCCCGATGAATTTTTACGCCCTAGTGTCTTTTCCTACTCTCTCTCTCTCTCTCTCTCTCTCTCTCTCCAGTTTGCACTGGCACTGCGCCGCCGCTGCCACCACCACCACCACCACCACCGGTGAGTCGGCACTCTCTCCTTCTTAGACTGCTCTTCACTTCTTCTTCTGAAAGCCCTCTCTTCAAGACATGAATCTGAAGCACTTCTTTTCAAGACAGACAATCAACAGCATTTCAAGGCTCAATGCAAGAATTTCATCTCCACACGCCTATATTTACAAAAACATCTCCACCATTACCACCTCAATCTCTTCCTTCACTCATTCACCAACCAATCATGACTCTAATCTCATCAAAAACCCTAATTTCCCAAACCCAATTCAATTATCCTGCAACAGATACGCCCATTCTAATCACCCAATCAGTGACCCAGAAGAAGAATCAGAGGAAGATGGAACCATGAATGAGTTCTTGTCCCGATTCGTGTGGATAATGCGTGGTAAACTCTCTGAAGTCTACACTGACTGTGACAAGAAGACAATTGATGGAATGCTTTTAATCATTGTTGGGAAGGTTGTATCAGAAATGGAAAAGGGTTTGCTTGAACAAATGCTTGGATCAGCTGTGGCAACCCCATCACATGATGATTTCAGTGAGGATCTTTGGAAAACAGTTTGGGAGATTAGCAATGAGGTATTGGATGACATGAACAAGGCTAGGAAGAAGGAGAAAATGAAAGGGTTTCTTCAATCTGAGGAAGTTAAGGAAATGAGTAGATTTGCAGGTGAAGTGGGTATTCGTGGGGAAATGCTTAGGGAGCTTAGGTACAAATGGGCTCGTGAGAAAATGGAGGAGAGTGAGTTTTATGCCAATTTGGAGAGCCTCCGCAAGGAAGAAGCCAAAGTGGGCGAAACCGTTGATAATAAATTTGAAATCATGGCTGAAGAGGCTGTTGGGAATGAGTTTGCTATGGATGAAGAGAGACCTAAGGTTATTTCTCTTCCAAAGAGACATGGGAAGATAAGATACAAGATTTATGGTCTTGATTTATCTGATCCCAAGTGGGCTGAAGTGGCCGATAAAATACATGAGACCGGGGAGGTAATTTGGCCACAGGAGCCTAAATCAATTTCTGGGAAATGCAAATTGGTTGATGAAAGAATCCTTTCATTGAAAGAGGAGGAGGACCCTTCTCCATTGTTGGCTGAATGGGTAGAGCTTCTTCAGCCTAACAGGATTGACTGGATTACTTTGCTTGATAGATTGAAAGAAAAGAATAGTCTTTTATACTTCAAGGTACATACACTGCTCATTCTTTTTCGTTCGTTAATTAGTAAAGTCACATGATATCGGGTAGTTAAGCGTATCTGCTTTTGATTTATTCATTGACATTTTCTTCGTATGCACTATGCACTTGACTTCAGCTCTTTTATCCCATTTCCCCCAATTTGTTGACTGCTATCATGCAATGACATTGGCATATTGTCATGTTGATTATGGTTATACTCATGATTAGGATCTATGTTTATTAAATAATGGATTATTTTATGTGGATGGATGCTTTTGAAAATTTTGTGTCCGTCTTTCTATGGCTTTATGGTATGTTATTCTACATTCTGGTAAGTAATAATATCTTATGTTGGATACCTGGACAAGGAAATATGCAGTTTTTATTTTTATTTTAGGTGCAATGCAACCATCAATGGAATGTTATCTTGCTCTTAATTGTTTAATTTAGTTGTACATAAGGCTTCCTATTTGTATTCCAACACTTTCTGGATTGGATTTTTGGGTTACTGGGTTTGGCTGGCTGTCTGTCTGTAGGATCTCTGTATCATATAACTTTAAGAATTTTTCAGAAAATGGAAGCTAGGATATCCTAAATGAGTGATTGATGAATTTTGTTGTCAATTAAGACAAAGGCAATTCTTGGTCTGGATTTTATGAAGCCAGTTCTGTCAAATCTGTAGTTGTAGGGTATACTTGGAAAATTAAAAGATTGGTACACCAAATTTACGATTCAGAGAAGACGAGAGCTTCATGAGTTTGGTATATAACATTATGGAGAGGTGGGTACCTTGGATAATCTTTTGGATGGTACTTTTGGATCTGTTTGGTGGAATGGACATCAAACCCTTCAAGCATGGGCCTGGTATTCATATAATTTGGTGTGAAGTTCTCACTAGATTAAGGGGCTCATGTGTTTGGCTTTGTGAAAACTGCATTTTGATTTTGAAGGTGTTGCTATGATTTAGGAGTTGTGGGTGGGAAGTAGAAATGAGTTCGTAGAACATGGCTAAAACTGGTGATTTGCATTTCAATTGAGAATATAAAAAGTGTGACTGGGATTGTGTTTCATTGAATTGAGATTTTATAACATCTGGGGAATAATTGCCCATACATATTTACTCTTTCAAATTATAATTATGGAAATTTATTCAATTAACAATTAACATTGGTCTTCTATGAAATCTGCTTAAAACCTATCAGAAAAGAAGTGTCCGTTTATTTTGTTTATCATAGTTTGAGAGAAGCATAACCATGTCTGATGAGATTCTACAATTTTATTATGCTTGACACTCTCAAATGGACTAAATCTGTAAATCATGTCAGTGCTTCTACCGTGGTCTTGGTTCTGCTTAGATCTGAAAGCTTTTTTGATGAACTCTCTGATTTCAAAAGGCAAAATTTGGGATCTTGGTCTATATCTATATACTTGCTTTTTAGTACTATTAAGTAGTTTTAATTCTTCTTGAACTCAGCTGTGCTTTTTCATTGTTGATCCACTTCTGAAGTACACATATGGGTCTGATACATGATGATTGCAAGTTAAATCTATAGAATACATACATATCTGCTAACATATGGCAAATCCATCAATTCTTTTCGAAGAAAATTATTAACATTAGACCTTTGAAATCTAGAAGAGAGAATTGTCCTACGTGCTTCCACTACAGCAACACAGTTCAATTTACCTGTTTCAGAAAAGGTAGGTTTTGAAGTTATCTTTCCTAGTTGAGAGCAGAAATCATTTGAACTTGGTTTCAGTTACATTGAGCAACATCATAGGGATGAAACCTTGTCTAATATGTCTATTAATACTAAGACATGGTTGTCAGTAATTATGTTGAAATACACGGGAAAATGCTTACGGAGATCAAGATTTGATTTGTTTTTCATAGAAAATGAAGAAGGCCAAGGATGACGTGGGGTGCATGTTATTTGAAGGGAACACGTTTTTTCAACTGCGTATAGTGTCAGTAACTGACTGATGCACATGAATTGTTGTTTATTTTTATTTTTTGATTAGCAAAATAAACTTTATTGATAAAAATCAAGGATAACCTTACATCATACATCAATAATGTACAGTTCTCCAAACAAGAAGATAGTGCTATAAGCATCAAAGCATAGTCCTATCATCCCAACTAAGTTGGTACAAATACAATAGAACCTGATCAATCATTTGCAGCATCAATCTCAATCCATGGTTGAAGAGAAGTCAACCATTATGACATACACAAGCCACTAATCAACCAGCACTAAAACAACAAAAGACTAATTAATAACAGTCACCCATTTGAACCATGCATACATTACAACCAGCAGTTAAAGAATGCTCAACTGTTCATTGCTCTGTGCTGCCAAACTGCTCCTGATCTCTTACTGATGACTTCTACTTCTAATGGAATCCAGCTTGAAAATCAGTTCATGAACAGAATAACTCACTTCATATTGTATTTCACCCATAAAGCCACCCTAACTTTGATTAGCTCATTAATAGAATCCCACTTTACGTGGGCCCCATTAAACTTGCAATCATTCCTAATTTTCCAAATTGACCACATAGTAGCAAAAGGAAGTACTTCCCACATTTTTCTTTCCAACTTATTGAATCTGAAACTAAAACTGGAACCTCTCCACCACTGTAAGAGTCCATTGATAGATTCTGGTGATACCCACTTTACATGCCACCAATTAATTAATTCAGACCATATCTAAGAACAATGTATAAGTATATACTCCCCTGTTTCTTCAGCCTCATTACAGAACACACACAACACATTGGTATTAGCACCCAACACCCCCATCTTTCTTAGCATCCCTGCTGTTTTAATTCTTCCTTTCCAAGCCAGCCAACCAAAAAATTGAACTTTTAGAGGTGCAATGTTCTTCCAAACCAAATTTGCAATCTCAAATTTAGTAAATTTGATTCAGTCCATTTGTAAACAGAATTCACATTAAATGTACCTGAAGGGTCTGCTTCCCATACCAACCTATCTTCATTGTCCATGATCAATGGTGGTGCATTATCAAGCATTTCCATCAATCTTTTGAGCTCATCTTCTTCCCAGTTGAACAAACCTCTTCTAAACTGTAAATTTCACACTCTAGACCTTTCCCCTGTGATGCATACATCTAACACAAAAGCCGTTTTGGATACTGAAAGCAGAAACAGCCTAGGGAAAATGTCTTTTAAACAATAGTCCCCATACCATTTGTCAAACCAAAAAAGACATCTTTTACCATTGCCTACCTTTATGCTTATATTAGATTGGATATAATGAAACACCCTTGAATTGTTCATTAACCACTGCTAAAATATCCATCCAAATTCTTGATCTCCTTGTTTGGCAATCCAGACTTCGGCTCCATTGACTGCTATTAATCTGGTATTTGCTGCACAAGATGTCTTTCCATAAAGCCTTTTTCACTTCCCCAAATCTCTACAACCACTTAGCAAGAAGGCACAAATTTACCTCTCTTAACCTTCTAATACCAATGCCCCCCCAACTCCATACTCTTTGTTATTTTCTCCCATTTGACCATGTGTACTTTTCTCTTTAAGTCTGTACTGCCCCATAAAACAGAAGCTTGAATCTTATTCAACTCTTTTGCTACTCCATTCTAAATATTGATAAGTAGCACACAGGTAAGTTTGAGAGCACTGACTTTATGAAGGTCAACCTACCCCCAAATGACAAAAATTTCCTTTTCAACTAGCTAACTTCAGTTTGAACTTCTTCACTACAGGCTGCCATGTAGACTTCATCCTAGGACTTGCTCCAAGTGGTTTCCCAAGAAACTTGCATGGCAATTTCTGACTATTACAGTGTAGTGCATCAGCCATCTTCAATAACAAATCATCCTCCACCGCCACTCCTATCACCATGCTTTTGAAATAATTTATCTTCATCCCAGAAACTATTTCAAATCACCTAAGTATTCTTTTAAAACACAACACATCTTCCCAATCTGCTTCGCAGAATAGTACTGTGTCATCTGCAAATTGTAGATGGGGTGCACAAACATTTCCTTTGCCTACCACAGCTCCTTTTAACAGTCCCATATCTCTAGCTCTCATGATAAGGATGTTTAGTCCTTCGACCACCATATTAAACAGAAAAGGGGATAATGGGTCCCCTTGTCTTAATACCCTCTCAGCTTTAAATTGATCAGATGGACTCCCATTAACTAAAATAGAGGTTTTAACAGTAGAAACACATGCTTTCATCCACACTTGCCATCTGTGGCCACACCCAAAACTTTCCAGCAGATTGTACAAAAAGCCCCAATTAACACTATCTTATGCTTTTTCAAAAGGGTAAACTACCAATAGGTCATAATAGTTGGACTTAATTCCCATAAAGTCCTATTGAAAATAAATCTTGGTAAAATTGTCGCTAAAAATAATTTTTGTGACAATTTTTTACATACGTCGCTAAAAATTTATAATTAGTGTCTTTTTTTTTGTCATAATTTTTATAAATTGTCGCTAAAACTTACAATTAGTGACATTTTTTTATGACAAATTTTTCTATAGGACCTATTAGACAATAAGTCCACTTATTAGAACATATACGTAAGTACCCCTTTTCAAAATCCAATTTAATTGCAACACCTTTTTTGTTGTTGGCTTTCCACCAATCCACAACCTCGTTGGCAATTAGACTGCCATCCATGATATTTCGCCCTCCCAAAAAAGCAAATTGTGTCTCACTAATAATTGAAGGAAGTACTTTTTTGAGTCTAAAGGAGAGTTCCTTAGCTAGAAGCTTGTATATAGAACCAATAAGACTTATAGGGTCCGTTTGTTTTGGGTTATAGGGGATGTGATTGGATTCGAATGGATGTAGGGTCCACTAATGTTGTGTTTGTTTGCAAAATGGGGTAGGCGATTCACAATACCTTAGGACTATGATAGGTCTCCATGGATGAGATTAGTGGTCTCCCATGGGATATGGTATTAGAAAAAAAATTCCTTGGAATTACAGGGGGATTTACTATTTTGCCCT